AAATGATAAAATACTGTCCAGAATAAATATAATTACAATAAGCCACTATAAGACTTCTATAATCTCAAAAGCTGTGACAGTTCTAGTACTCTAAATGTACTGACAGCTACTGATAAACATTTCATAAGATATAATCAGAGTAACCAAGCTTAACCATTGGCAAATGCTTTTCTATTACAGTTATGACTTAAAAACTGGCACACTTAAAAACTTCTGAGAATGATTACATATAACATTAAGAAGTGGTTATTTATAGATTTCTTTAAATTTTGCACAAATAGAAAGTTAAGGATACATGCTTTTTTTTATTTAGATATTCAATCTTTAGTGACAGATTGTGATTATATTATATTGGGAAGTTTACATGTTTCCTTTTTTCTTCGTGCCTTTTCACAAAATTCTTCAAACCTTTAACAATCCAATAGAGGAAAGTTACCCAGGTCACTCTCTTGGTATGTTATTTTATATCCTTTTCATTATTAAGATATTAGCCAGCTTCTTTTGTATATTAAATGTAACGTCTGTTTCCATGTAATTTTTGTAGCTTGTCATTTTTAATTTCACTTCCAAATCAGTCTCAACCTTGTCAGTAAAATCTGTTCCTCTTCCATAACCTCTTTTAAACACAGTCCATCTATAGAAGCAGACACCCTTAAAATTATCTTTTGGGTCCATTGTTCAAAAATGTGCATTAGTATGTCAAACGTTAAAATATTTTGCTTCATTCTGTATTTGAAAGTTGAATTTAGGTGTTCTTCTTTAATTGTAATTTTTAATTCCTTCTAGTTGCCTCTAGTGTCCAATTTTTAAAAGTCTTTATCTTATTTCTTATAGAAGAATTCAAAACAACAGCATCTATGAAGATACATACACACACACACATATTCATATACATTGTAAAACCTATTGATCCAAAGGTTCACAATAGGTAAAAAGCAGTTAACGAGCAATTGTGGAAAATGATTAGAAAATATGCAAATCCAATGTTCTTTCAAAGATCCTATGATTTGAACAACGTGGTTATTCCCTTGCCTTCCAGAGCTCTAAACCCGCCAGGAGAGCACTATCTTGCAGTCTCTTTGCAAGGAACCCTTGTGGGCAATCTCAAATTCTCTCCTTGTCCAGAGAGGAATGATCAAATAACCAGTCTATCTGCCAGTTCTTCATTTCACCATGGATGTCAGTTCTGGTTTTTACAAAACCATTTTCAGCCTGCAATTTGTTGGGAGTTCTAATCCTCTAGGACAGAGGTGTCAAACTCACGTCGTCACGGCAGCGTCACATGACGTATCGGGACTTTTCCCCCCTTTGCTAAACCGGGCGTGACCGTGGTCAGCATGTGACGCATCCAGCCCATGGCCGGGAGTTTGACAACTCTGCTCTAGGAAAATAGATGTTGTAATCATACATCTTGCAGAAGAGGCAAGACAGAAAACAGTAAGTTTCTGTTTAAGAAGCTTCATTATTTATTTGTGATATTTTGAAACATCTTGAATTTAAAAGGCACATTGAGCAATAAGTTTAGAAAGGGGTTCTAAACCAGGGGTATGAGATGATATTCTAGGAGGTGCGAAAACTTGGGTTTAGACTAGTGATGGCTAACCTTTTTGCCGTCATGTGCCAAAAGCGGGGGGAGCGCGGGGGTGTCGCACGCGCGCGGGCCCACACCCATAATTCAATCTGCATCCCCCCGCGCATGTGTGCTCGACCCCCGCGCTCCCCCCGCTTTTGGCATGGTGGGTGTGCATGCGTGCACTGGCCAGCTGATTTTTGGGCCTTCCGGGCCCACCGGAAGTCGGGAAACTGTTTCCAGCCTCTGAACGGCCTTTGGGGGCAGTGGTGGGGAAGGCCCGTTCTTCACCCTCCCCAGGCTCCAGGAGGGTGGGGAAAGCCGTTTTCACCCTGCCCAAGCTCTTAGAAAGTCTCTGGAGCCTGGGGAGAGCGAAAAACGGGCCTTCCCCACCACTGCCCCCCGAGACCGTCCAGAGGCTGGAAACAGTTTCCCGACTTCCGGTGGGCCCGGAAGGCCCAAAAATCAGCTGGCCAGTGCACGTATGCACGCTGGAGTTGAGCTAGGACAATGCTCATGTGCCCACCGCTATGGCTCCGTGTGCCACCTTTGGCACACATTCCATAGGTTCGCCATCATGGGTTTAGACATTTCAAAATTATAGTGTATATATATATATATATAATTATGTGCATATAATTATTTACTTTTGTAAGGGGTGCGAGAATATATAAGAAGCATTCTAGTGATGCAGGGTATAGAAAAGGTTGGGAACCCTTGGTTTAGAATATGGCTTTGATCCAATTACTCTTGTACATCTGATTTTATAAAAGTTTTGTCATGAGGATAAAAGGTGGAAGTCTATTTATTTTTAGTTTCTTAGAGAAAAGTCAGAAGTGTACAACAATGAAGAAAGTTGTTATTAGGATATGCTATCTAAATTATGAATTTGGACAAGCTTCCTAATTCAAGGCTTTTCTAAACAAACCTGAAAGGAAAATAATCTAATATTGTTGTTTAATCCTTACTTGGCAGTTCACTTACTGTTTGCTTTTACTGGATGGAAAGATGCACTGCAAAATCTTATAATGCCTCAGGCATTGGGGCCAGGATGTTAAATCATTGGTACTCTTATATTTCAGTGTATACATGGGAACCAACTTTTTTACAGGGGCCTTGATATAAATTGTTTTCTTAGTTTTTAATAAATTTGACATTCTATATGGTTTGCCATCCAGAATTTCACTGGTGAGCCATTTACACTTGATAAATAAATGTGAAAATATTTACAGACCCCTCCCATCCTGGATATAAACTATTTCAACTCCTACCCTCAAAACGACGCTATAGAGCACTGCACACCAGAACAACTAGACACAAGAACATTTTTCCCCAAATGCCATCACTCTGCTAAACAAATAATTCCCTCAACACTGTCAAACTAGTTACTAAATCTGCATTACTTTTAATCTTCTCATCATTCCTATCACCCATCTCCTCCCACTTATGACTGTAACCTTGTTGCTGGTATCCTTAAGATTTATATTGACTGTTTCCATATGACTATAAGTGTTGTACCTTATGATTCTTGACGAATGTATCTTTTCTTTTATGTACACTGAGAGCGTATGCACCAAGACAAATTCTTTGTGTGTCCAATCACACTTGGCCAATAAAGAATTCAATTCAATTCAATTCAATTAACTGAAATAAAATTAAATGTTCTAGTTCAACTGCCTCTTGGGTACATACATATTATTTCAGAAATGACCGGAGATACTTCATTTTTAGATAAATAGTATTATTCCTTGGTTTCTAACTCTTTTCCTCCTTCAAAGAAATAATTTTTAAAAAGTCTTTAATAATTTTATTTTCTAACAACACACACCAGATGTTTAGAAATTACCACTTTACAATACATTATTTACAACAAATGCATGATCTTTAAATTTTACATACAGTAGTTATAACCACATACATTTGGGATTAAAAATACATCTGCATCTTATTCAATCCAAGGTATATTTAAAATATAGAAGGAAATAGGATCTTCATTTGACCTTCCAAATGGTCAAATGAAGATCCTATCTGACCATCTAAATGTACACATATGAATTTGGCTACCCACAGAATGAATAGCTTGCATGTTAAAAAAAAATTTTTTCTTCGTCGAAGAGTTAAATGTGCTTTTTATGAATGGATCAAAAATTGCCTCCAAACCTCATTTTCTAACTGCTTTACCCTTACTAGAACATAACGGTTCCTAAAATATAATGAATATATTCATCTAGCTGGCAAATCACCTACCAAAAGAACTTCAACATCATATGGCTTTAAATTTGAGATTAGAATATTTTTGACTTTTCAGCCTTTTTAAGCCTACAACCCTGGTAACTTCTTGAAGGCTTCCCTTCAATGTATGGACCAGACCGAACCAAACTCTAATCAAGTTCTGAATGGAAACAAAATTGGCCAGGTGCTTATCCATAGCATGTCGAATTTGACGCTTTTAATATTGACTTGTGTGTGTGTGTGTGTGTGTGTGTGTGTGTGTGTGTCCATCCTGCAACGTTGTGTGAACCCATCACACAATGTGTAGAACCTAGATATAATATAATATAATTCTTTATTGGCCAAGTGTGATTGGACACACAAGGAATTTGTCTTGGTGCATACGCTCTCGGTGTATATAAAAGAAAAAATACATTCATCAAGAATCATAAGGTACAACACTTAATGATAGTCATAGGAAATAAATAAGCAATCAAATCATATTAGGAAACAGTCAATATAAATCGTAAGGATACCAGCAGCAAGGTTACAGTCATACACTCGTAAGAGGGAGGAGATGGGTGCTGGGAACGATGAGATTAATAGCAATGCAGACTTAGTAACTAGATTCTACAAACACACCCAAAAGGAGTCCCTGTATAATGCAAATAACGTAAATTAATCGCGTTATACCAAGGAGGCAGCTCCCTTATGTTCATCGTTGGTGGGTATTTGGAGGCTCTTTTACAACACAAGCTTTCATCGAGAGCGGCAACCTCAACGAACCTTCGGATATTGTTGGATTACAACTCCCCATCTACGCGGGTGAGAGCTGATACGGGCTGTAAATCCTCTCAACCTCTGGAAAGCCACCCGCCCCCTCCTCCTCCTCCTCCTCCATACAGCCCAGCTCAGGATCTCCAGCGCCTGCCAAGCACGGTGGAGAGCTCAGAGTCCCTCCCTCCCTCTCTTTTATTTTACACACACCGCCTTTAGTCGGTTCTTCAAATTCCCCCCACCCGTCCCGTCTCGCCTCCCCCTTTTCATGAGCGGCTCATCGTTGGCTCGCCTCTTCTCACCTCGCTCCAGCCGTACAGGTTCCCCCAGGGCCGCCATCTTCCCCTCCACCTCCTCTCCTGCCCTCAGCTGCTCCAGCGGAAGTGACGTCGGCGGGAGGCGTTGCTCTGTTTTAAAATGACGCGAGGCCGGCAAGGTAAATGGAACGCTCGGTCCCCTTTGCCGCGTTCTTCTCTTTCAGCCCCTCGTCGTTCGTTCCGCGGGCAACAAACTGGAGGCAGCTTTTCTCTGTGTTCCGCGAGACAGTCCCTCTTTTCAATTAAAAGCGTGGGTAGCTTTTGGCGCCAACTATTTGCGCTCTCTTTGCCCGGAGAAGGTGGCTCATTTTTAGTCTCAAAGGTGGTGTGTTTTCAAAGGTGGCTTTTTTTTTCTTCAAGAGGCAACTGGATTTTCTGGTTTTTCTTTGAAGACGTTTTTCTTCTCATGCAAAAAGCTTCTTTAGCGCTGACTGGATAGTGGAGAATGGAAGGATTTATATTCCTTGCAGACAGTTGGTCATTTGCATCCTTTTAGAGAGTGTTTGTTTGTTTCTTTCATTCATTCATTCATTCATTCCATCAAGCATGTATCTGATAACAGATACAAGTGTAAGCATAATTTTGAATACATGAAATGGATACGAATAAAAGGAAATATTAGGACAGGGATGGTAGGCACTTAGGGTTAGGCTTAAGCACACCCCTTAAAGAGCTCTTAGGAATGGGGTGAGGTCTACAGTAGACAGTCTAAGGTTAAAGTTTTGGGGGTTTGGGGAAGAAACCACAGAGTCAGGTAGTGCAGAGTCAGGTAGTTGTTGAGGCCACCTGGAGGTTTATCTGTGTCCTCAGAGTAGTCACTTGAGTAGTGCAAATGGGTATGGAGCCTTCTTGGAACTGTTGAAAGGAAAGGTGTTGTAGACTGGAGGTAGATGATGTCGTATCCAGTCCAACCCCCACCATCTAGTCAGAGCTGAAGAAGCTTCTTGGACAACAATCGAAATGTTTTCAAAGAAAAAAGAGAAAGTCCAGTTGCCTCTTGAAAAAGCACCTTTGGTACAACCGTGACTTGGATGACTGAGCACACGTGGATCATTTTAACTGTACTGGCATCAACGTGAGATTTCCTACAGCCTGAAGAAAAGAAAACCTGCCAGATGAACTTCTTTGGGCTTCAGACTGTTTCTTCAGTGAGTCCGTATGAAAAAGGAAGGAAGGGTGGGAGGTTGATAAAGGGCTAAGTGTGGCCCAGCCATTGTGGGCCGGTTGCTGTGTAAAGCATAGGAAGAGCCAAAGCCATGCCTAAGTTTACAGGTAGTTCTCCACTTAATGACCACAATGGGGCCCAAAATTTCTGTGTGTGTTAAGTGAGTTGTGTCCCATTTTACGACCTTGTTACCGTTGTTAAGTAAATCATTGCAGTTGTTAAGTTAGTAACGTAGTTAAGTGAATCTGACTTCCCTATCGACTTTGCTTGTCAGAAGGTTGCAAAAGGTAATCCTGTGACCCTTAGACACTGCAACCGTCATAAATATGAGTAAGTTGCCAAACGTCTGAATTTTGATTATGTGGGGATGCTGCAATGGTGATAAGTGTGAAAAACCATCACAAGTCACTTTTTTCAGTGCCATTGTAACTTTGTCACTAAATGAACTGCAAGTCAAGAACTACCTGTATTTATCAAACTTGTATGCCGTCCATTAAGCCGAAAGCGAAGAATAACTGTTTGATAAACTGGTTAAATCATCATTCTAGCCATTGCCTATCTACTTCGGGATGAAGGCCTCTTCCGCATGTTTCCAACCAATACTTATTTATTTATTTATTTATTTAGTCAAGCATGTATTAGATAACAGATATAAGTATAAACATTATGAATACATGAAATGGATACAAATAAAAATAAATAAAATAAAAATAAAAGGGAACATTAGGACAGGGACGGTAGGCACGCTGGTATACGGTCTTAAGCTTTCATTTGACAATTGGACCCACAATACTTGCTGATGTCGTCGATCCACCTTGTTTTAGGTCTCTTTTGTGGTTGCTTTTTATCAAGTGGGATCCATTCTGTAACTGCCTTGGTCCGCCTGCCATCAGTTCTTGCTATCTGACTAGCCCATTTCCATTTCAATTCTTTACTCTCTTAATGATATTGTATACTTTCATTTGTTCTCTAATTCACATGCAGGTCTTTCTATCTTGTCTTGCAATGCTGAGCATGTATCTTTCCATGACTCTGCGCCACTCGTAGCTTTTGCATCGATTGTGAACTGGTTAAATAAGATGGATAATTTCTATTGGATAAATCTGTAGGCTATCAGGAGCAACATCCTTCGCAGTAAGAACATTTCAGCAGTGGAACTAATTATCAACTGAGCTGGGTCCCATTCATTGAACTTGTTCAAACTGAAGCTGGACAGTCGTCTGGGATGGGCTGAGCAAGGAGTTAAGTTGATAGCCTTAAAATGGCAGGTTTTAGCTCTGATTCTATAATTAATGGATTTTCAGGATGTGCCCAACCAGATGCTGCCAATACATCCTCAAGTTGTACATAATGACATATGGTAATCTGTAGTAAATTCCAAATCAAACTTCCTACTGGAATTTCTTTGATGAAGTTTGGCAGCTTTTAAATCTGGTAGTAATTGAAATTTAAATGCTTCCGCTCTAGTTTCAATAGACCTTTGTTTGACTTGCTTATGAGCTCTGACAAAACAATACTGTTTACACTTCGCAGGAAATGTGCAAAGTTGCGTGAGAACCTTCAAGCCTGATTGAGTACGACAACGGAAGGGAGCACTGCATGGATGGGATGAATATCATTGATTCACCTGATTGCCATTCTCAGTGACTTGCAACACCTAGTCCTGTTAGAGGATGGGTCATTTTAAACCTGTTTAAAGATACAGGTAATCCTTGTTTACTGACTGCCTTGTGCATTGATTATACAAGTGTGAGGTTACAACAGGGCATTATGACCACAGCAGCATTCTGTGGTCACATGAACTCCATTCACATGCTTTGCAACCAGCTTGCAATAAGCAGACTTAATAAACAAGGTGGAAGTAAAATCATAAGTCACAATTACATTTTTTTGCTTAGTAACCATAGCATTTTGCTTAAGCAAAGGAGAACTAAGGTCATGAGCTCATTGAAATCACATGCTTTTTTTTGCTTAACACTAAGTTGCCAGTCCCAGTCATGGTTGCTAAGCAAGGATTACCTGTAAATTAAGTAATCTGTTAGCACAGATATTAGTGATATCTGATCTCATCTTAGAAATAATCTTTCCTGCTTATGCTAGCATTATTTGCCTTGCAGGGTAGGAGGTGTTACTTTTACATTACTCAAGTAGTATTGAATGCTTACTACTTCATTCTCTGCTTGTATTCAGTTGCTCACATACCAATGCAGCATTTGTTTCCCATCTCTTTAGGAGCTGCTGCTGTATTTCATCCGCATCAGCTAACGGGGCCACCTGGATCTGTTGAATGAGTTATTGCAAAGTTGTCTGCTTATATATCTGTTCCTGGAGGAAGAGAAGTTATTTTTGCCTTTGTAATAAACACATGACAATTCAATGCCTCATGTTATATTTTTTGTTATGTTTGGTATACATATGTGTCAGTTTCTATATGTTTAGCTCTGGGGAAGGGTTTGGTTAAATTAATGATAAACATGCAATATCTGAAGTAACCTCCACAATTTATGAAGAGTTATATTACCAGTTGAGCCAAAGAGCTTGTTTTACTGAGACTGCCTCAGTCTGATTATCATGTAGAAGTGGATGGTGATATTGGATGAAAAACCAAAGAAAGTGTGAGTGCAACAGATACTTTGTGCAGTAATGCCAATGAATGTCTTCCTAGTGGATCTTTGAAGTTTTTCAAATTAATGTTACTCAAAATGAAATGTATTATCCTTTAGCTTATGGCATCAAAACCAGGAAAAATACAGAAGATTTGGACTTGCATATTGGCTTTCAGAAGAGCAGATTTTGATGTACTCAGACACAAAGTAGATTACATCCATTGGCTTGAAATTCTTAAGGAGAAAAGCACCTGGAAAGGAGTGGAAAACTGGAAACTGAAGTGCTAAAAGTGCAAATTATTCCTGCTAGAAAGAAGGGAAATTGATCTCTATTTAGACCACTGTGATACATAGTTTTTTCTGATGTATTTGAGAAGAAAAAGGGACAAACATAGAAAATAGGAGTATATAACCAAAGAAATATGCAAGTCATCGCCAGAAACTATAGGATTTGGGTCAGAAAGGCATAAATTGAGAATGAACTGAGGCTTCTTTCAAAAGAATAAAGGGCTTTTTCAGATTTATCAGAAACAAAAAAGGCTGCAGAACTGTTGTGAGGTAAAAGGAAGGGAATTGATAGTGGTTGATAGTTATATGGCAGAGTGACTTACATTTAATATCATAATTCTCTCAAAGGGGAACAAAGCCCTAGTTGATCACCTTTGTGCCACTCATGGATAGAGAAAAATGCAACTCAGAATTGACAAGGAAATTACAAAAAACACATAGCTAATTTAAATCCACATCTCTAGGGCCAGATGAATTCCATTCTAAATTACTGAAGAAATTAGGAAAAGTGATTACAGAGCCACTAAGTGTAATTTTTGAGAGCTTCTGGAGGATTGGTAGCAGAGGTGGGTTTCAGAAGGTTCTGACCAGTTCTGGAGAACCGGTAGTGAAAATTTTGAGTAGTTCAAATAACCGGTAAATACTACCTCTGACTGGCCCTGCACCCATCTATTCTCTGCCTCCCGAATCCCAGCTGATCGGAAGGAAATGGGGATTTTGCAGTAACCTTCCCCTGGAGTGGGGTGGGAATGGAGATTTTACATTATCCTTCCCCTGCCAAGCCACACCACGCCCACTAAGCCACATCCAAGACTGGTAGTAAAAAAAATTGAATCCAACTACTGATTGGTAGGTCCCAGAAGAATGGAGAAGAACAATTGTCCCAAAAGAAAAAGCAAAGGAAATTAAGGATCTGTCTGTCACATTGACATCAATTTTGGGCAAGATTCTTGGGCAGATAATTAAACTGCATGTTTATGAACACTTTGGTAGAAATGCAACAATTAACAACAGCCAGCATGTGTTTGCCATAAATAATGCCAGGCTAGCCTCTCTTTTTTTCCTGACAGAATTGCTGTCTTAATAGATTTTGGAAATGCCTCAGACATAGTGTACCTTGATCTCAGCAAATCATTTAGAAGTGTTTCTCATAATATCCTTAATATAATTGCAAAATATAAGCTCTGTGTTACAATGGTTAGATTGAATTATAATTGGTTGAGTGACTGTACCCAAATACCTGCACAACAGATTAGAATGTAGAATCAAGTGGAATGCCACAGAGTTCTGTCTCAACATTTTTATGAATGATTTACATGGAAAGGATTGAAGGAATGAAATCAAATCATCAGAAAATGAAAGACACAGGCATAAGATGTGAGAAGCTGGCTTGGTTGTGTATATGTGAAAATATTGGGGGTCTGTAGTTGATCACAAATATGATCCAACAGAGTGAAGGAGCTGCTAAAAAGACATGCTATTCTGAGATACGTTAACAGGAGCATAGATAAGGAAGTAATTTTATTTGGGTTCACTTCTAGATGCTGCACTCTAAAAAGCACATTGACAATTGTAGCTATTTTGCAAAGGGGATGCCAAAATGGTGAAGGATCCAGAAGGAAAGTCCTGTGAGGAGCAGTTAAAGGAACTGTGTATAATTAGCCTGCAGAAGACAAGACTAAGACAAGATCATTACTGTGCTAGATAAATTTTGCAGTTCAAGTCTGCAATCAAACTCATTTATTCTTATTACAGGCTGTTTTTCAATTACTGGGATATCTAGCCATTAGCTATGCTGCTTGGAATTGTTGGAAATTTTAGTGCAGTAATATTTGGAAAGCCAGATTTCCTGTTCTAGACTGACTTTCCTTGATTTCTTCTTATATCCTGTTGTAATTTTCTGTCTCTGAAAAAAGAAGGCAGTTTAACAATACTTCAGATATGTCTATTTGGAAGAAAGCCACACTTAATCCAATGAAGTCCATTCTTAGGTGTATAGGACTGCAGGCCATCAGCAAATCCAAGCATTTAAAGGAGGATTAAACACAAATGTCAAGCCATAGCATGTTCTAAGCAAGGGATCTTCTAGGTATTATTTACTGAAATTTATATTAGTGCTAGTCAATATGATTAGTGAAGCAAGGTAATGGGAGTGGCAACAGGAAAGTTCATGCATTATCTATACACAATACAGAGGAAGCAACATGCCTCCATAAGTATTTTAAGAATGATGAACTGGCAAATTTATATTGGGAAACAATATTTGGCTTATTCTGAAAAACATGAAGCAATTCATTAAAGGAGTGGGCTTTTGAGACCTAATTTGATAGTGGCTGATCAGCTATTTTTATCTATGTTTTTCCAAGTTAACTTTAGGGATGGGATATATTGAAATGTTTTTGTGCTTTATATTTTTACCATGGAGACATCCTACCATTTAAATAGGCATTTCACTTTAATTTTTAATTAATTAAATTTAATTTTAATTTTAATTAAAACTTTAATATTAAAATGAAGAAATATAAACAATATTTGGTATTGTATCAAAGTCCTACATGATCAAATTATTTCTGTGGTAGATACCAGCCTACATCCACCAAGAGGTTCTATGTCAGGAAAAAAAAAATCATTATTTCATTTCTTAGCTGGGAAAAATTTCAGAGATTTTTTGCCTAGCATTTTATTGCTAGGATGATATACACATTTTAAAAAATATGTACAATGTGCATTTTTTATAGTGAGATTTATTTATTTTCCTCCTAGAATGATACATTTTACGTACTGATATGTAGTAGAGGTAATCCATGACTTCCCTGCACCATTCATTTAGTGACCATTCAAAGTTATGACACTGAAAAATTATGTTTATATATTCTTGCATTCTTCTGCTATAGTTAATCGAAGAGGTGCAAAGAATTTGTGTTAGACTGATTCTTGTGATAGGTATCTTTAGAACAGAGGAAGAGAAGGGTTTCCGCTAAAGGTCTGAACCTGAATTTATATCCTCTTGACCTCATTTCAGAATCTTGTAAAATCTAAACATACTTTTCAGACAAGCAGAACGTGAACTGGGATGGTTCACTAGTCAAGAATAACAAAGGCAAGGCAAAAAGAAAGAAAAGACTCTAAGCAGCTAAAATGTGGGGCAAGAATGCACTTGTATGAAATACTGCATGGAAAAAATCAATTCGGAGATGGGACAAAAAACAGCAGTGAAAATAGTGTCCTAGTCCTTAAAACCAAATACAGAAACAAGCTCTGAACTAAAATGAGACAATAAAATAATGGGTCTACCTCCAGGGGCTAATCAATAACCCTGGGAAGGTCTTCAAATGTACAGTCTGAAACTATTCTCTAGGGTTATAAGTGATGTTAGTAAAAAAAGAAGGCTACTGGTACAGAAGAGACGACAAAGTCTAATATGATGTATACTTATTAATCATTTAGTTCATTAGCATGGGCAGCACATCTGTTCTTCATCAGGAAAGAATGCTTTGTGCTAATGCTAGATCAATCCCTTCCTGTCCCTGTCTGCTTGCTGCATGTGTGATGCACTCTTTCGTGTGTGCTTAATCTGTCATCAATTTAATCTAAGTGTGGGGTGAATCCATTATATGTTGTGAAAGAAATCAAAGCCTGGAGTGCAAGCAGGACAAACTCATTGCATGCAACTGCTTTTTAGGGACATAGAGCGGCATAGGGTTTACCCTTAGGAAATGGACTACATGTTTTAATTTTATCCAAAGTATTTTAACTCTTGCAGTTGGTTTCATTTAATAAAATACATGGCCAAAATGCCTACTTCTGTGCCCTGTTTTCCAAGTGATTTCTCCCTTCTGGGACTCATTTTAAAGTTGTCACTCCCTCCATTGTGTAATAGAAGATGCTGCTATATGTATTTCAATGAGACATTCAAACATTAAGGGATCTGTGGCCATTAACAAAAGGCAAATCAGAAACTGTTGGGGCTGAAATCATCATGAATGTTTCTGTAATAAAATCCAGATGTTTGCCATTTTTAGTGTTGTGTGAACTCTCAGCTTGCCTTGCTAATGGTACATGTCATTTTCAGGAACCTGCAACTGACACTTAAGCATAACAATTAGCTGGCAATATGGACCTGAAAATTAAGTCTTTGGATGCCGTTCACAAACCGCCAAAGTACTTTCCCACAGATTACTTTACAATCTACAATAGGGCCAATTCATGACTAAGGAGTTTATTCTCACAGGCACTTCAGCATTTCAACTTTTCCTGCATCAATCATTTGCAAGTTGATGTGTTCCTCTGCCAGTTTGGTCTACATTCAGTGTTGATTCTCTGTTGGTACTTCACTACAAGAACTCAAATGTTTTCATTTTCTTGGCATATCTAAATATCATCTACATAATCAGTTTCTTATGGCCATGGATTGATTGGAGTAAGGCAATTCCCTAAGACCACCATGTCTTCTATTAACATGAAATGTATATAGAATTGATCCATAT